TCAACATTCCCTTCTCCTTTTGTACCGTGTTGTACTTGCTGTCTCTCTCAGACATCCTTAAAGACTGTCTTTTTAGCAGAAAATTTCAGTAAAGTGTTTTCTGTAATTTTTTTTTTAAATATGAGAACTAATTATTGTCCGTACTTGTAGCATTCTTCATTAAAGTCTTGCTTCTCTCAAATGTAAGTACCTGTTCAGTTGCAGCATGGCACACATCACGGATGGAGGTGGCAAAATGCTGAACGAACTTGGCTGAACTGTGTCCATCAGGAAAACACCGTTAAACTGTACTGGATGTTCTAAGCTTTGGAAGCCTTGTTAAACAGATAACATGGAAATTTCCTCTTAGTTTGTCTGCTTCCTTACATAACCACTTTCCTGGGGACCAAAGGATTTTTCTTTTGAGTGACCAAAAGGCAAGCCTTAAAGATATTCTAGTGCTTTAAAATATATCCTTTAGTGACAAGTTGGAAGCTGCACAGCTTTATTATCTACTGAGTTTTGAGGTTTGCTGCTGTTTGTCCATGGCCACCCCACTGAAGTCCTGGGGAAGGTGAGATCTCGGCCTCCTCTCAGTGCAGCTGCTCTCTGGTCAGAGCTGGCTGTGGTCTCCTCCCCAACAAGACCTCAAGGCAGAAGAAGGAGGCTGTGCTGCATCTTGGAGAGCAAGATGTGTTTCTGGGTTTTGTCCAGCGTGACAGTGCATAGGTCCATTAACTTTTTTTCACCTAACTTCAGTGTTTTTGTTCCATTGTTAACTGAAATGTGTACATAGAACTATGCTTATGGTTTCTGTAGAATGGTAAAACTTCCCACGAACTGATAATGTAGCTGTAGCGGTTGGTATGTATCCACACTGCAGTGGCAGTAGACTCACTCAGAAGTCCTGTGTCAGGGGCCAGGGAGATGGCTCAGTAGAATAAGTGCTTGCCTGGCAAGTGCAAGGGCCTGAGTTCAATCCCCAGTTCTGCCAAAAAAAGTCCTGTGTCACAGTGTGTCCAGAGATCCCAGCCACTCCTGCATTCATTGTGGAAGTCAGCTGCTGGGCCACTGAGCCTGTTCCTTCACTGGAACTGAAATACTTTTGAAGTCTATTTTCTGCTTATTAGTAGTTGTGACACTTGAAGTTGATGCAATGAATTTTAAGCATTTCTTGATTAGAAGATACTAATGCAGTTTTTGTTTTAAGACTGAAATAAGCTGGGCATGGTAGTTGATGGAGGAGGACTAGCCAAGAGTTGGAGGCCAGCCTGGGCTACATAGTGAGCTCAAGGCCAGCCCGAACTACATAGCGAGACCCCTGTTTTCACAAAACAAAAAAAGGACTGATTGAAATAAAAATATTTAGACAGTAGGACTTAGAGACTGATAGCTTGAGAAACAATATCCTAGAGGTTAAGACTAGCTTTCCAGGCTGGGCATTGGATTAATGCTTGTAGTGGAATTAGATCCTAGCACACTGGGAGGCTGAGGCAGGATGATCACACATTCAAGCTCAGCCTGGGCAGGTTAGTAAAACCTTGTCCAGAAAAGATCTAAGGATGTGGATCAGTGTGAAAGTCAGTTTAGTTCCCACTACAGGACTCTGGCCCTGTCAACTGTCCATGTAGGACGAAGTAAGTCACTTTAGTGTGCATGTCAGCTGTCCTCACCTCTGCCACAGTGGATCACATTACTGTACCTCCTGTGTAGTACTACGGTGAGAATAAATGAGGTATAAGATGCAGGTAGACTTGTTAGTGCCTCAGTGAGAGCTGATGTCACGAACAGAAGAAAGATGGAAGGTTGGAACGATGCGATAGTGTTCAAATGTGTTTAAATGGCTTTTCTTTCCCTGTGTGGGTGCTAAATAAAAGAAAGCCCGAGGGTCTGAACACTATCTTGAGCAGGCTTTGGATAGGTTTTTACTTATATATTTTTATGGGTAGCTTCAGGTGAATGTATTCGGTAGAAGTTGGCAGAACTCAGGAGAGTCCGTGGAAGAGGCTTTAAGCTTTGTGCAATTGTGAGATGCTGTGGTTTGTTTTAAGCCAGACTGGGTAGAAATCTGTTGCGTTAGGTGTTGCCACAGGTATTTTATAGCAGCAACAGGTATTGCCTATCAAATTGATACAAGAGAAACATTTCCTCAGCCAGTTTGTTAATATGTTCAGATGGCTGTAAAGGAATTTACCTAATATTTAGCCCCCAAGAAGCAACAACTGAAAAAATAGCTCAAAGAATGGGTGTTCCTAAGTAGTGGATTCTACCATCAAGCACGCATGAAGTAGGTTTGGTGAGCCGCTGAGCTTTTGGGTTTATTTGGGGTTCTTGTTTGTTGGTCCTGGGGAATGAATTCAGAGTCTTTACACTGAGGTATATCCCATCCCTTTTTAATATTTTAAAATTATGAGACAGGACCTTGCTGAATTGCTCAGGCTGGTCTTGAATTGGTGATCCTTCTGCCTCAGCTTCCAGAGAGCTGGGGTTACAGATAAGCTAAGCTACTGAGTTTTAAAGGTAAAAGCGAAAATTTCCTATTACCTGGACATAGGTGCTGTGGCAGTTCGATTACAGAGTATGCGTGGCCCTGAATTGGCCTACTTGTGATTTGCGGAGTTAATGATTAGCCCAGCAGTCGTCTGAACCACTTACTTCCATGAGGCTGCAAGTAGTTCATCTGCAGAGGAGTACAGAAAGCACCATGTCCCCTTTGCTCCTGCAGGCTGGCCTGGTGGTTCTGAATCTAGTGACAGCTGCTAGGAGCCAGAAGACAGAGCCTGTAAGTGGCTCTGGGGAACAGCCGCCCCACCGAGAGGCTGATCGCCATGACTTTGCCATCATGATCCTCCCAGGGGGCACAGAATGCTTTTGGCAATTTGCCCACCAGAATGGATACTTCTATTTCAGCTATGAGGTATGTGGGTTCATGCTGGAGCCTTTTTTTTCCTTTCATAAAGTTACTCGGATTTAGACAAAAGCAAGATCTGATTATTACGCTCTGATTCCCACATCTGGATGAAGGGTGGACCTCCTTCTTGAAAGAAACTTGATTACCAACAGAATCTCAACCATATGGCCTGGCCTCTCACACTGGGGCCTGCAGACGCTCACACAAAGCCGTGCCTCTCCCTGGAGTGCGGCTACTTTCTTGAATTTGGGGTGTAGAAAAAGCACACACCTTCAATTTTTTTTTTTTTTTTTTTTTTTTTTTCAGAACCAGGGATTGAACTCAGGCCCTTGCGCTTGCTAGGGAAGCGCTTAGTACACTGAGCCATCTACCTGGCTCCTAACATATTTTTTTAAAACTATACACAGTACAAATTCATATGAAAAAGCCACAACTTCAAAGACCGAGATCCTAAGAAAGCTGCTTTAGTGGGTGGAGGGGAGCGACATCTGCTGTCCTGTTCTCAAGGGAATTCTGGCACACTGGAGACACTTAGGAAGGTGGACGTGTTCAGGCTTCCTGTCCATAAGGGAGGTAATTTCATCCATACTGTGGCCTTAAGCAGTGTGAGGGTGGTGACTCAAAGTCCCAGGCTGTTCCTTTCATTAACCTTATCTTAGAACACTGCTAACTTTCCAATTTTTGTTTGCACAGTAATAGACCATGTTGGATTTACTCCATTCCATTGTAATGTAAAATTTATTGTAACTCAGAGCTTTTTCTTATCTAAATTTCATCAGAACAGTAGCTATTAGTCATCTTGGGCTTATCAAGATCCACCTAGGGTCGGCCTGGGGAGATGGCTCAGTGGAATAAGCGCTTCCCTGAGAGGCACAAAGGCCTGAGTTCAATCCCCGGTCCCACCAAAAAAAAAAGTTAGGATAATGTCACAAGGCCTTCTGCTCTCCTTACTGTGTCTTGGCAGGTTCAGCGGATACTAGGGATGTCACACGACCGGCATGTTGCTGCTACAGCACACACCCCACAGGGTTTCCTCATAGAAACTTCCCAGGATGTTCGGGGTCAGATTAACTTCTCTACCCAGGAACCAGGTCTGTTTCCATCCCCGTGACTAATTTAATAATCAGGTTTCTGTGAAATTGGAAATAATGAAGTACTGTACACAGAGATGGTGAAAGGGAAGAAATTTTCAGCAGCAAAACCCAGGGTTCCTGGACGCCGCTAAAGCGGCCCAGTAGCAGCAGTCTGCGGGCAGGGTGGTAAGGGTCAGGTGCCAACTACCAATCATCCCAGGCGCCAGAGCTCAGTGTTCTGTCATCTCCAATTGACCAGACTAGAGAAGGGACTAAAGCAGACACCAGTCTGGAGCACAGAACTTCAGTCAACTTACAGGGCAGCATTTCTTTCCAATCATCAGAGTACTTAAGCTGGTTAATAAAGCAGATCCAGAAAAAAAGGAAATGCATGGCTGTATAAGAAATAAACACTGCACAGCAAGCCCCACTCTAGCCTGAAAGTTTCTACAGCCAGGTGAGGCTGGTCTCGCGGAGGACAGCAGCACTCGGGCCACACTGCCCCCATTACGAAGGCAGACTTTCACAGCAGCGGACTTAGACAACCCTTCACTGGGTGTGTGGGATGTCCGTCCAGAATTCATGGATCTTTGGCACCGTTGACCCCACCAGCCAGTAGTGCCCTCCAATCACTTTACCTTTCAAAAACTTATACCCTTCTAACCCTCATGGTCCTGGGAGTACTCAAAGGAAGATGACCCAGTCCAAAATAGCACAGCAGGGAGCCCCAAACTGTGCCTCACAGTTACTCCACTAGGGCAGTTTCATTCACAGTGGATCCCCACTTCTACCCCAGTTTCAAGTTCAAGATGGTATCCACAAAGCTAGGCTGGTGGTGTATGCCTGTAATCCCAGCACTTGGGAGACTGAGGCAGGAGGATCGTTGGGAGTTTGAGAACCACCTGGGCTACAAAGTGAGCTCAAGGCCAGCCTGAATGGTATAGTGTCTCTCAAAAAGACAAAGACAAAAGGAAAAAGAGATGGTGTCCACAGCTGGGTGCAGTGGCATACACCAACAATCCCAGCTACCTTTCCGGCTGAGGGAGGGCATTGCAAGTGGGAGGGCAGCCCAGGCAACTTAGGAGCTCCCGTCTCCAAAAAATAGAAAGGGGTCCAGATGTATCTCAATACCCCTGCCCCCCAGCTCTAATGATGTACACCGAAGCAGGCAAATTCTTATTTTCAACTCAAATCTGTTTCCCAGGAGAGACGTGGGAATTGCAGATTGGAAGGGGGAGAAAGCAGTTTTCTACGCAGCACAGAACTAAAGATACTGATGTTAATTTTTTGTAATAGGGTCTTGCTATATAGTTCAGGCTGGCCTTGAACTAGCTGCAATCCTCCTGCCTCTGTCCCAAGTGTTGGGATTACAGGCATGTACCGCTACACCTAGCTCTATTAGTAATATTTATTAAAGTAAGTTTCAGGGGGCCGGGGAGATGGCTCAGTATAACAAGTGCTGCCCTGGCAAGTGCAAGGGCCTGAGTTCAATCCCTGGTTCCACCAAAAAAAAAAAAAAAAAAAGCTTCAGGTAAGGTCAGTGACCTCCATATTAAAAAAGGAGTTTTGGGGGAACTACCCGCTCGGGCCCCTTTTCTGTCCC